ATTTGCGTCTAGCAAAGATTACTAGGATCATTTGGTATATGCGCCTCATAACTTATTGAATGCTTCGTATAATTCTTGGTAAATGCTGTAAAATCAACAGGTAAAAGTAAAATATTACATAAGTGAAGAATATATTACTGAACATGATCAACTGTGTTTCATAAGTGAAGAATAAAAGTTTCGTTAATTTTTCACAGTTTTTCATGTGCTTATTTAATGTATAAATTTGTTGACGACTTGATCGAAACAAGGTAGCGAGAGCAGCCATTTGATGTTGGTATAAAAATTTTGCTTGTATTCAGAATTAACTAATTTAGTTTGTTTTAAGGAAACGATGACGACGAAGAGACGAAATCACGGACGTAACAAAAAAGGTCGTGGACATGTAAGACCCATTCGCTGTACAAATTGTGGTCGTTGTGCACCCAAAGATAAGGCTATCAAGAAATTTGTTGTTCGTAATATTGTGGAAGCAGCTGCTGTTCGAGATATTTCCGATGCATCTGCCTATGATTGTAAGTTTTCGCTTTTTTCAAATGTTTCCTTCCGTACTGATTTGTGTTTACATTAAAGTACTCGGAGAACATTGTTGTATCAGCATTTATACAGCTGTTTTGTACAGAATTTTATAGGTGAAATGTGTAGAATTTCAATGTCGGGAAGATTCTATGTAAGACTTTTTAAATGAAAAAAAAATTCTGTGTAAGACTTTCTAAAAAAGTAAAACTTTTTAAATGTTACTGGGTTTTAAAAGAAGCAATGAGTAGCAGGTTTACTATAATTGTTCATAATATATTTCTTATCGTGATCATGTTTCAGCATATGCGTTGCCCAAATTATATCACAAGTTGCATTACTGTGTATCTTGCGCAATTCACAGTAAAGTAGTACGCAATCGTTCACGTGAAGCACGCAAGGACCGTAATCCACCTCCACGTTTTGGACAGCGTGGCGGCATGGTTGGAGATCGTTTTCCACGACCAGGTGCCCCAAATCGACAAGGAGTGTAGTCCTATCATAAGAAGTTTGAGATTGTTTGTTCTTGTTGTAGTGTTATTACTAACATCCGATAAAGATTTCTTGATATTGAAGTATTTGCCTGGCAATGTGAAGAAAGATAAATTTTCCTCTCTGAATTTTAATCCTTCCCCAATTTCTTCCCCAAAAACAATGCTTCATTTAAGATTTTTTTGAAGTGAAGTGGTTTTTTTGCCTATTATATCTTAATTAAAGACTTGACCCAGATTCATTTGGAAGTTTTTTACCTGTTCGATTTCCGGATGAGTTTTGGCAAATGCCTTTACAGAATTCCATGTTTCATGTTCTTTTAAAAAATTTTTGGTGCTCAAATTTTGATGAGTTTTTTGCTCTTTCTTGCAGGATTTTTTTTAATACTCTTGGGAAATTCATGCCGATTGCTACTAGTTTTGAATTCTATCATTTAATCTATAAATGTGGTTTGGGATAATTTTCTAAGAGGTTATCTGGTGAATTGTGGTTTGTGCAATTTTTTTTGAGAGCAGAGCTCTTAATGCGAAGCTCTTAAGACTTGTTGACTACACCGTCTGCATGTATGTAAGGGATGACTGGTAATTAAGTATATTCCCTTGGAGTTTGACTGATTTATTGGCTTAAAATAATTGGATGAGAAAAAACCTGGACTTATAACTCTACGAAAGTCTCAGCGTCTAGCATTCAGCAGTGCAGCCATACAAAATTGAATGATACTTCTTTGGTGAAAATCAACTACATATGGTTTTATTGGAAAACATTCAAATTAGAAACAGCATATTATCATTGATAGGACAATAAGTGAAGAGGAGTATATATGACATTTCAGATAGCTCCGCTTTATCTGGTTTAAATTTTAGTCGTTCCTGACGAATTATAATATTTTTATACACGTACGGACTGATGTGGTTCTAGCTGTAGTTTATACGTTGAAAGGAAAACATTATGAGGAGCCGATTCAACGGTTAAGTCGTTTCGTTCGTCCTCATCTACTCTTTTAACCTATAATGAGAACGCAAGTATATCAAATATAAAATTATTTCACCGTTATAATACAAATTTTGCTACTAGCCGTCAATTATCGTTTAATTAAGAATTAATGTAATTAGGGAATTCCATAGTAGTATAGGAAATTCTTTTTTTTAATATAAAATTGTAGTATTTCAGTATGAACAGAATTTTGAAGAATCAGTCATTCTGATTCTAGTTTACAACCATTTGTTGTAAACTAAAATCAGAATGACTGATTCTTCTAGAAAAAAATGGAATCTAATAATTAAATAATGTTAAGAGAGAAAATGTATCATTACAGTGACAATTTTTACAAAATATCAACATTTATTGGGCTTCTGAATTAGTTGTTAAATCTGATTGCTCAAATATTGTTTATCTTAAGTTGAAGAAACCGTTAATAATATCAAATGAAGGGGAGAAGCTCACTTTAGGCGAACTTGATGGAGGTATTGAAAGGCGTCGATTTTTAATAATTATTTTATCACTGGTTGATTTCTTGCCACCTTTTCGTCTACTGATATGCGGATTATCTTGATACAAATTTTTCAATTTGTACATTCTCAATTGCGTATAAACTCGCTTCAGTTCAGCCTAAATTAACAGCAATTTGAAACATCAAAATAATCGGATCCATCGCATTTATAAAATTTGATAGTATTATTTTGCAGGCAGAATACAGATCTCTCAGATGCTGTAAAAAGCAAACTAAGAAGCTTTAGCTTTTTAAAGCAAAATGGATCTTTTCTTTTTCTGCACAATAATCAGCTGTTAAATAAAATGGAATCGTTTTTCAAATGATATCATAAGCCTCTAAAGAGTAATAGCTTGCACTTGTAATGTCACAGAATTTTTTCCATCAAAAATCTCACCCAAAAAATTTTGCTAATTGTTGCTGTATGTATTTCAGTAACAAACATCGAATTTATCTTTAAATTTCATCCCAAATTCAGAAGTAATAAAAACGATTTAATTTGATTATCATAGAGAAAAAAAGTTTTTTTTTCCACGTTTCATAAATAAATTTTGCCAGAAATGTTGAGAGGAATTTCTCCTCACCCTTATATCTTCCGGATTCATATCAACAATGGGCACTTCAGCGAAATCAATTGTTCCATTCAATAAATTATCACGAAGTTTAGCTAATGATGGATGTGCTTTACTGCCAGTACCTGCTAATGTTTGCATACGCTTTGTCTTACTGGAGCTAACCTGAAATTTCGAAAAGTCAAATGAAATCCCTGAACTTCTATTTCATAACTCAACTATAAGGTTTCAAAATTTGAATTCTTTTAAAACACGAAAAAACTTAAATTATAGCAAATATTTATATTCCAAAGTTGAACATTCTAAAATGTTCACTAATTTTTAATTAAAAGATACATGAATTTTTAACTCGATAACAAAAATAACTAACTTTCACCATTCAGTGTGATAAATTTTTTAAAAAACTATTTTTTTTTTAACCTATAAATCGAATAAAGGAAGTTGAAATATGAGCTATGATCATACTATAAGCTTTTCTTAAATTTATATCGAAAGTAAATGACATATAAGCTAAGGTCATGCTATAAGCTGACGATAAATTTCCAAAGATTCCTCATTTTGCTATATTTGATGATTTAAAGTTTTAACGGAAATCATTCAACTTATTTGTTCAGAAGTTATTTTTATTCGTAGCATTTTTTTATTTTCAAAAATTTTCCTTCTCATTTACGAGCATTTTTTCTTCTTTTTTCTTTTCTTTCCCTCTCCTCCCCTCCCCTCTGTTTCTTTGTTTTAGAAAAATATGAAAGATAAGAAAATCCATCGATACCAAAGGAAGAAGAAAGATGAATTTCCAAGGGAGTGCAATGAAGTGCTTGAAAAGAAGAATGCAAAAGAAACTTTTTTTTGAATGGAGAAATCAATGAAAGTCCTCTCTCTCTTTCTCTCTCTCTCTCATTCCCTCCTTTCTTTCTTCTTTCCCTACCATATATGCTTGTCATTTAATTTTTGTAAAATGATCAGAAAAAAAAATTGAAATTTCATTTGTTTTCGATAAAATTAGAATAAACAAAAAAGGAGAAAAAATTAATTACTATTAAGAAGTTAATTCCATCTTAATTTACTTTAGCAAAAGCAAGAAAAAAGTGCAAAAAAAAATTTCTAGATTTCTTTCGCATATAATATTTTTCTTTTTCATCAGTAATATCATCATCATCATAAATCAACAAGGCTTTGGAAGCAGATATATAAAGTAAGAATGGCTTAAGAAATAAGCATTTTTAAATCCCTTTAAAGAAATTGCTCAATTTTAAAGAGTAGGTCCAAGTTTATTAGCTCTTCAAACGTTTATGAAATAGGAAAACATTGCCAGCTTGAAAATTACATTACCAGTTTTTCTGGACTGATTGCAAAAATGCGAATCAAACCTGACCTAATTATGGAAGTAAAAATATTGATTGAAGAAAAGTGTAAAACTTACTAAGTAAAATTTTGGAGCAATAATAATAACAATATTAATAGAAACAGTTAAATGTAACTGTACAAATGTGATCGTCATCAATGTATCACTGTGTGCCGAATAACGAATGGAATATCTGGAAATGAAGATTGTGCGGATTTCGATAAAAGAGAAACAACTAAATTTAAATTTGTAATCATTAAAATATCTGATTTGTCAAATAATTTCATGTTAATTAAAAAATATGCAAGGGATAAGAATTTTTTTCTTTCTTTACTAAAATATTAAAATATTAGGACATTATAACTTTTTATTAACTTGATCAAAATTTTGTGAGTTCATCTTCAATGTTTTAATTTTAAAATGAATAAAAGCAATGATATTTTAATTATTTACATGGGTTCAAATTGATTACAATTATAAATGGCTCAGCTATGATAATTGAGGATAATTAATCTAATAGATTATAGTAAAAACGTTTGAAAAAAAATTTTAATTGATTGCAATTAAATTAATACCCAATAAAGCTATACTTAACCTTAAAAAATTTGCAAGTAATGTAACAATTGCTTCCAGACATACAGCAACTGTAAATTGCCATCGTTCCAGCCAACTACTATTTCGCGCTTTATAACACAATCGCATTCCGTAAATTAGGAATAACGATTCATAACCTTAAAAAAAAGTTTCAAACTAATTTAAAACAAGAAGAAAGAAGTAAAATCAAATCATTGTTAAATATATTTTGGTGTGTCATCTATGCATGATAACATTTGTAGCTATTT